GGTCCGCCGGGGGCGGGAGGTCCTGCGGCAGCTCTGGCCTCTCTCAAAGCTGCGAAACAGTCACGTCCTGGTGTCCTGAATTAATCTAATAAGGCTTTATTTGACCTTAACGTTAGTTTAGGGCAGGTGCAGTATTTGCATAATCATTCATTCAGCTCGGTGTTAATTACTGTGTCTGAAGGGCCCCACTAATGAGATAACTGCATGATGACTTCAAGAAGGGAGCGGGAGGAAAACAGGTGTGAAATTAATTAAAGTAAGAGCGTGGACTACATCAAAGCTTGCTCTGCCTACCAACATGAACTGTCTCAGCGTTTCTTTCTCATTACTCGAATTTATTACAAGCTTGTGACTGCAGTTAACGGGCAATGTATGCATCTTCTATCAGCATGCGATAAAGCCAGCAAGCTACACCTAGAAAAACAGGAGTCAAATTTCAACTTGTTTGTACAATTTTATTCGTACTTTTCTGCAGAGTTGCATGTCATGCTTCTTCCCAAAGCAACCTGTGGGTGCGCTCTTTGGTACTATGAGATTAAACGGTTTATTGTCAACCCTTGCTGAAGGTCTGCTGTGGGAAAAGCTCTTAGGAAAGTTGAACGGTTTTGTATGTTAAGGGCATAATCCCTCGACTAAGTATAGACTCTGGAAACAGTGTTTGTTTTCAAAAAGTACTTCAGAAAATTTGATGGCTTCTGACTATGCTTGCATTCCAGTGTCTCCTCATAGCTCCTGTCTATATAGTGACTTAGCTGAGAATTAAAGATGCCTGGCATTTTTCAAGAAAAAAAATCAAGATCTTGCAGAAGCAAATTTAATGTAATTTTGTTTCTAGAAGTCTGTACCATATATTCTAAGTTTGCGAAAAGCCTTTTCATAATGAGCAGATAAAATCTAGAAGTAGGAAAACTTTATTTTAACTTGAGAAATATTTAAAATTAAATGGATCCAGTACATTTTCAGCTACTGTAACAGAGTAGATGAACATCTCTGCCAGAGATGCAACTAATCTTCAATAGTTTTTTTTAAATAGCATGGTTTATTCAGCAAGTGCCATTTTAATTCTTCCCATAACAGCTATTCAAAGTAAAAAATACTAGGTCAGTTGTATTGTTTTTTAATGCGAATCACTTTTGCTAGATTTTTGAAGCATCTGATGAAGATAACAAAGGCTATTTAAGCAGAGAGGACTTTAAAGTTGCTGTAGTAATGTCAGTTGGTTATAAACCCTCAAAGGCATGTATTTTTTCATTTGTATTTTGAAGATGCAGCTTGTATAGATGTCTCACTATTGAGAACTCTTTGTACTTACTGGTCTGCATTAATTGGAGTGGATTACTGTTGATTTGGTAAACAAATACCTATAGATTCTAAAAGTAATTATCTGGACATATTTATTTCAAAAGAAAATAATCAAGCCTCTACCTTTTCTGCTGTAGACTGTGAGGATCAGAAGAATGCATTGTATTTCATATGTGTATAAGATGTATGAAATAAGAGACTTAGCTTTCTATTGATCAATTTTTTGTTTTTATTAGTGGTACACTCCATTTCTTTACTCAGTGGTTTCAGTACATGTGAAACACTGCATGTCCTAATAATAAACATGTATTCTCAGAAATATAGCTATTTTTGGTTTCGAGTAACAGTTGGACTTTTTAGTCTTGAGTTCTCTGATACAAAGCTGTAGCTGTACAAAACTCTTAACAAAAGAAAGATTTATTAAGAGAAATTATGTGTTGCGTACTCACAGGAAGACACAAGATAAATTATGTGACTTAATGTAGTTCTGGAAGTTATGTTTCTATTCTAGTACTACAAGTGATCTCAAAAGAAGAGCACACATGCAAGATTTCAAAATAAATACATGGGTGTCTGAGTTTGTCTCTCATGGCCTGTCGATACAAGCTTGACTATACTATACAAGCTATACTATAAAGTATATTTGGCATAGAAATTATGGCTTAACAGTCATCTCTGATACATTTCATCTGTGGGTAAACATATTCTCAATGAGTTAGACTCAGATGTAAAAATAATTTAGATTTCTAAAGTGAGTCTTAACTGCTGAATCAGAGTCTGAAAATGCTCAAATACCTTTTATCTATCTTCTAGCTGTTTTTACCTTCCTGTAAAAATTGAATGTTCTTCTAGATTCCCTGAATGTTTCTTCCAGTAGGAGTACTCAAAACATGCTTAAGGCATGCAAACAAGCAGGTTCTGTGCCTAAGTCACTGATAGCTCCTTCTTGGAAAGAGAATAGAAGTGGAGGACTCCTGGGAAGACAGGAGGTGCAGGTTTAGTTATTTCTTCCTGATAACGTTCCAAGTCACACTTGCTGTGTCTCTAGGCAGTGCCGTGACCACCTGGTTGTAGACCATTTTGTCTGTGCAGCTGCACAGGACTTAATTTAAAACGTTTGTTGCAGGAGTGATTCTGTCATGTAGTGGTTTTGCTAGTTCCTTTAATGGGGCCAATTCCAGCAACTGTTGCTCTTTACCCAATGATTGCTCATTGTGAAGTACTAAAAGACCCGACAGATACTTTATGGCTTTAGCTAACATGCATTAACTATGGTTTATGGCACAGCCACACCTTTTGCTTTTGCTGATGACTAGGCCTTGTAAGTGTTCCTTTCAACATCTGGGTAGTTTTTAATCAAGTTCTGAGAAACACACCTTTCTCTGTGCACCAGGTAGGAACCATAAGCAGAACTTTCAATCCTATAAGTTGATTGTTAGGATCCAGTTCTTGAGCATGTTATTATGCATTTTACTTTGTTGTCAAAATGATTAAAATCAGAGACTATCGTAACAGCCCTTGTATGTCTTTGGAAGTCACTAGGAACAGTCCTGGCAAGGAGAGCACTTGCAAGAGCTTTCCCAAGAAATAGGGAATGGTATACATGCATTACTTAAGTTAAGGTGAAACTGTTTCCTCAACTACACTACCTACTACAATAAATTTTTTCAGTATTAATGGCAATTACGTAGCATTATCGACTGCAAACAAGCAACTGCATTTTTGGTAAATTGTTGCTGCATCTTTTTTTTTTTTTGGTCATGTTTTCATTTATTCTACAAATTAAAAGTAATTCCAGCTGTACCCACTAGATGTCATTGACGAACTCTTTACCGGAGAAGGTGGACCCTAAGAATTTGAATCACATTCCTACTCCACTTGCTTTTTTGAAATAATTTGTCGTAACAATTCTATATCATACGTTATAAAATATATTTTTGTGTGGTTATTCATCGAGATTCTGAACTTGCTACTGTTTAAAATGAAGCCTTCTGAGACAAGTAACTAGAGAAAACATGAAAATAGAAAGAGATTATCCTAATTGTTGCACTGATACTGTATGTATATTTGATATAGCAGCATATAAAAATCATCGTTTCTGGGAACTAGTAGCATTGTGGGAATCATGTTTGTGGGGCTTATACTTTTTTTTTCTCTGAAACTTTGGTTCAGTGGTCCTCTTTTCCCCAAAATTATTTCAACTGATCTAAAATGCTCTCATATTTCAACAACCATTCAGCTGGCTAACTGCACATTCAGGTGTTAAGTGTTTCGAATGAAAAGGGTACTGCAGGAATAGCAGTCATGAAAATATGTTGTTTCCCCAGCTGAAATTTCATTCCTTGTACTGCTACATTTAGGTCCAAGTAAAAACACTCTCTATACTGTGCCTAGAAGGCCAGGCCCCACAAAATGTCCAGTGTTTTCCCTGACCCAACCCCATACCTTCATATCATGACACCGGTAGGTTGGCATCTGCTGCTGAACAAGATGCCAGCAGCCGGGGACCCTGACATCCAGAGTGCAGAAGGGCGGTCTGAGCTCAGGGCTGCTTACAACTTCCAGCTGCTCTTCTGGCACATCTTCTCAAAGCTTTCTCAGAAGGACTCCCTGGTCTATATGTATTATTGGAAAAGTGTTGTAGACCAAATATAGTTTTAGGTTAACTGGTCACGGCATGTTTGGCTTGTCTGTTCTCCAGAATGGGGAATGCTTAGGATGCGCTAGAAACTGCTGACATGTTGTCTCCTCCCATGTGAGTTGTCTCAGCTGCTGTATCTATGTGCAGTCTTGTGTTCTAATAACATAAATGTGAGAGTTTGGATTCATGAGCACTTTGTTATGCTAAAAAACAGTATAAATGTAGCCCAAAGTGGACCTCTGTGCTTTCTTGGATATACACTCCCTTTCTGTTATTCACAATGTTCAAAGATCTTTTCCAGTGTTCTTTTGGTCACCTCCTAATTCAGTTCTGAAAAGTTTTTTTTTTGTTTGTTTTTGTCATGTCGTTTAGCTTTTTGCTTCTGTAGTATAATGAATTTTGGTAACACACTAATATTAGTGAGTGTTAGTTAATCTTAGTAACACGCTAATCAACATGCAAGTGTCAGTCCTGTGTTCCTCTCAGATAAAATTGTGAGGTAAGATCCTATTGAAAGACAGTAAAGGAGAGATATAGTACATAAAAGATTAGTGGGTTGGTTTCAGGATTGTTGTAGAAGCTGGATGATGCAAACAGTTCTTTTTTTTTTTTCATTTTCTTATCATTTTTTTGTTCTCTATCTTTTTATTATAAAAAGTTTTTGTTTTAGATGGATTTACCAAATGAGTTTTGATCAAACTAGGTTTCAAGAAACAGATGGTCTTCAATCTGAATATTGAAATGGAAGTTCTTTCATTGTTTAAAGGAAACAAGAAATTTGGGAGCTGATGATGCAAAAGCTAATTTTGAATATTATGGTTCCTTTGTGTGTAGTTGAACTCCAATATGTATAAAGTTCAGCATGTTTGTTGAAGCATGAGGAGTTTAAGATTTGGATATTGTTTACGCTTCTATTAGGACAACATATATGCTTAGTTTACAGGATGAAAAAGAGGTGGTTTTGTTTTAATTAGAGTATAATATTTTCTTACTTAAATGCCATAGATATACTGTTGTATCATAGATGATACTGTTGCGTAGTATGTATTATTATGAGATCAGTATTTAGTGAAATCACGTAGTATTGACAGAAAATGGAAATCATACAGGAGTTCAGATTTATCACTTCTGTAGAAAACCACTGTGGCATATCTTCTGTATACCAGTTGGAGGTGGATTCAGTAATGTCTTCTGTGAGACCACGAAATTCAGGTAATATGCAAACACCTGTCTGTTAATGATTTCTACTCCTTTTTATAAATTTAAAAAATCTGAAGCTTAGACTCTCGGAAGTTTTCAAGAACGCAATATAGATGAATGATAATGTACATAATTCTATGAGATTCAACAAGGCCAAGTGCCAGGTCTTGCTCTTCGATCACAGCAACCCCATGCAACGCTACAGGCTTGGGGAGGAGTGGCTGGAAAGCTGCCTCGTGGAAAAGGATCTTGAGGTGCTGGTTGACAGCCAACTGAACCTGAGCCAGCAGTGTGCCCAAGTGGCCAAGAAGGCCAACGGCATCCTGGCTTGTATCAGGAACAGTGTGGCCAGCAGGAGTAGGGAGGTGAATGTGCCCCTGTACGATCTGGTACACTGGTGAGGCCACACCTCCAGTACTGTGTTCAGTTTTGGGCCCCTCACTACAAGAAGGACGTTGAGGGGCTGGAGCGTGTCCAGAGAAGGGCAACGAGACTGGTGAGGGGTCTAGAGCACAAGTCTTTACGAGGAGTGGCTGAGGGAGCTGGGATTGTTTAGTCTGGAGAAAAGGAGGCTGAGGGGGGATCTTACTGCTCTCTACAACTACCTGAAAGGAGGTTGTAGTGAGGTGAGTGTTGGTGTATTCTTCCAAGTAGCAACTGATGAGAGGCAATGGCCTGAAGTTGCATCAGGGAAGGTTTAGATTGGACATTAGGAAAGATTTCTTCACTGAAAGGGTTGTGCAGCATTGGAACAGGCTGCCCAGGGAAGTGGTTGAGTCACCATCCCTGGAGGTTTTCACAAGACCTGGAGATGTGGTGCTTAGGGACATGGTTTAGTGGTGGACTTGGTTGGCAGTGTTAGGGTAAAGGTTGAACTCAATGATCTTAAGAGTCTTTTCTAACCTAAATCGTTCTATGATTCTATTCTATGATTCTATAAATGAGCTGACTATGGCTCTTACAGAGGATAGTATGATTTCGTTTAGTTTTGTAGTATTTTTAGTGCTTGTAAGTTACATTTAGCTTGAACGTATTCTTGTTTTTCAAAGTGGCATTTCTTAATAGCAATATTGTGTAGATTAGTGATAGAGAAAAATAATTAGTAATTTTAAGTGTTCTACTTGTTAAGTGGTGGAAAAGGTTCTGTCAGGTTTTTGATACTGTTCCACTGTTTACTTGGGCAAATACTGGAGTCTGACATCACAGTTCAATAAATATCTCTTTCTGTAACAACCCTTCCATTTATATAGTCCTGTTTGTTTTTTTCTTGTCCTTGACCTTATCAATTATGCCCATACATCTGTTTGTGGGGTCGTGTGGCAAGTCTTATTGGAGAAATGATTCATATAAAAAACGAAGTGGCAAAAAAAGTAGTTGATTTTGTCTATAAGTTCCCTCCTCCCTTTCGCCGCACGGCCCCACAAGTATTTGTATCAATACGTTTGAAGGACATTGCGGAGGCTGGTTCTGTTTATTCTAGCATTGATGCCAAAACCCATGCTCATTAAACCACACCCTTACTTGTAAATCTTCATGTTAGGCCACAAATACAGATTAAAGATTTTACTCAGATTTTTTTCAAGAGAACAACAACATATGAATGCCTGAACCAAAAATAGTGAACTGCCATATAAAGGTAGATCATAGATTTGTTAATACCTAATTGGCTTGGATGTATTTTTTAAGATGACTATTTTGTGTGCTGAGATAGCTTTACAGCCTGTTCTAGTAGCACATAAATTGCCAAGTTTCAAGATCAATGAATAGGCGGCACTCTATTATAGGAGTCATTCTATAAAAGGAAAATGGTGTACTATAATTTTCTGGGCTCGTATGTTACTCTGAAAGAGAAAAATGAATGGATGGAAAGCTAATACTGCTTTTTATGATTTCACTTCCATAGTTATCCAATTGAAAGGAAAGCTGTTCACGCAGGCAAGTTCACTATGTTTAGGCAACCTCTGTTATTAAAGAAATTGTGCATGTACAGAACCTAGCAGTTGAAAGCAGAAAGTCTTTGTAATCCTGGAAAATGAGACTGTAACAGTTCTTAATATATGATTTTTCAAGAAGAAATAAGTAAAGAAACACTGGAAATCCGTAGGCTTGGAGTTTAAGATTTGAAATGAGACAGCAGGTGGAGCTGAAGGAGCTGTGCTTTTGAACTGCTGCAGAAAGAAAAAGATATGAATGAATCAAAAGAAAGAGAAGTGTAGAGCTTTTGTTATGCTATTTGATAAATTCCTACAGGATGCAGTCATGTTGCCTTCTGAAGAAAATCAAATTGTTTAAATTGAGCATAAAGCATGTATTAGAAAATTGTGAGAAAAGAATATGGGTGTCTTTAAATGTTGAGCTGAAGTGGGATTTTTTAAAAAAAAAACGTGTCTGCAGAATTTTTATATGAAGATTTTTGCATGTTTTGTGGGGAGGCCGGAAGTTTTGAGGGGCAGATTTTTGCTTCTTAATTTTTATCCTTTACTTTGATTTTAGAAGAAATAGTCAATTAAGTACTTACAAGCTAGGTTTGCATTTAGATTTCTTTCAGTTCATTAGAAGGACAAGAGAAATGTACAAGTAAAGACTTTCATGTAGTATAGAGGATGAATAACCAATCCGGTTTTATGTTCAATTTTATTATGAATTTCATAGGAATGTATATCTGAGGTTCTAGACAATTTCGGAGTTCACTCACTGCTGGGAATGATGCCAGATAGATTGTTTATGCAGCATGGATCTTTATCTGTGGCATGCAAGTGCTATTGACTTAGAAAAGTCCACCTTTCTTTCCAGTGCAAAGAAACATAAGATGGCAGGTAACAAGAAGAAAAAACTAGAAGTAAATAGAAGTGTTGTACTCAAATATGGAAAAAAATGTGAGAAAAATGATATTGAAATGTTTGCATGATCATGATCTAACTTTGAAGACTATTATTTCAGGGTTTTTTGTGTTTATTTATATGATTGAAATTATGCATAGTTTTCAGACCATAGTCATTCATATTTTTAAGGAGAAAAATAAAACTGACTTTTTTTGCATGGAGATTTATTTATATTTTGCATTTTTCTAGGTCTGTTATTTGAAAAGTTTTCAAATCTCAGAAGTGCTGCACGATTATACACAAATGAAACAAGGCAAATATTTATAGCTCTTGATGTGCAAGCTAAGTTTTTTCTCCTAAATATTTGGAGTATTAATGTAATTCTAGAACAATTAAGCAGAACAGAACATCTGAAGAAAATAAAAAGAAGTCAAGGCGAGATGACCTGGATGCTGCAAAGTTAAGTAAAACAGTACTAGAGTAACAACGATCATGATGATATTACTATAAGTAAGTCAGGGTCAGTAGGCTGTGGCATTCTACACGGTAGCACTGGATTGTCTGTTGTACTATGAGCTCCTTCAGCTGTTAAAAGAAATCTCTAGTCATTCACCCTACCTACTTGCTGTTACTGCCTCTCATTATTTCTCTGTTACTCATACTCATATATCTCCACTCGCTTATTTATGCCACAGATTTTATGGATTTCTGTCTCTGGTGATGGCTATAGATCTCTCTTACTTCTCATGATAGACCAAGGAAGGGAAACCAAAGCAACAAGGATTTTTTCTCACTCTTACTGAGAAGTAGATGTGGTGATTCTTTTTCGTTCCTCCTAGACAGCAGGGGAGCTCGCATCACCAAACTGAAAAAAGGAAAACTTCATGAGGGGCCTCTGAGCTAATGAACATTCAGAAGATCCTTTGCCTTTTTCTTCCTGACCTAAGATAGGACTACGGTCCTTGAAAAGAGGTCAAGTGAAACATATGGCAGGTCAGTTGTTGGAATGATCAGATAAGCATCCACTCAGCTTTTTGCCATGAACTAGAAGTAGCTTTTGAAGTGTTATTTTTAGTGAGTTATTTCAAAGGACTTAACTGGTTTAAGCACCGTGCTTTTGTTTGTCTTGCTATCTGCTGCACGCAATCTGCAATAGCCCTGTTTGAGATGCTGTATTTTCCAGTTGGAACTGGAAGTGAATTCATAACCTAAGTGACTGATCAGTTGATATTACTTTGATATAATGTATTGAGGATCTGAAGTCTGCAGCAGGATTAAACTGAAGGAGAAATTTTTTATGACAGAAAACTTTTGAAACAATGCTCAGAGCAACTGTCAATGAAAATGATAGATTTAAAATGTAATTTTGCATATTTTAGAGTTTATATTTTCAAAGTTTTACAAATCTGAAATTTTAAATGCAAAATGTCTGCTTTTAAAATTAAAACTTAAATAAGAGAGTTGTAGATGTTGTAGGCACAGTACTTTGAAACAGGGTTCACGGTGGCAAAAAAAGAATTGTCAGTATAAAATCTTTCTTGGATGGTTCATCTACGGAATGTAGCCATCCTAAAATATTTTGCAAATACAGTAGCTTAAAGAGTGTGTAATAGTTTCAGAAATGTGAATTAACTCACATGCAAACATAATTGTATTGAGTAGTTTAAAAAAACCCTTCATTTGTATTATTTTTCTCTTGCCTAATTTTCATTTAGAAGGTAGAGGATTTTTTACGTTGGAAGACTTCAAGAAAGCATTCAATTCTGTTTATTCTGAGTTATCTGAAAGATTCATAGTTGAAGCCTTCAGGTAGGATCAACAGAGAAATCCTTATTCCTGGATAGCAGGCTTTTTGTTGTATATATTTCAGTTAATTGAAATGATTACAGTCTATCAGGCAACTGAATATATAAGCTTTATGCAGCTGAATATATAAGCTTCAGCACATTACTGTTTCAGTGCCTGTAATAATAAATATAAATAGAAGAATATGTTTAAATAATGTAATAATTACTATAAATTTTATAAATAGAAATAATAAAAATAATTACTATAATTAAAACAAATAAAACCAGATACAGAAAGTAGTTTGTTGCCTGTACTGTTTCTTAGGAAGTCTAAAATAATTTAGTTTTACATTTTCCTCCTGTAATCAAGAAATGTGCATTCAAGAGCTGTCTCTTGAAAAATTCAGTTAAACTGTAGAGCATATTGCGAGGCAGTAGTGATGAGATTTCTTGCAAGGTAAGATTGGCTCAGAAGTGAAAGGATAAAGTTTTGAGAGTAATTTGCAGATCATAAAAAAATTGTCTTACCTCTGCAGTTGCCAGTAAACATTATTTAAAAAGTTGCTTTGGAAAACATAGCTGTTTTTGTTTGACCTGGATAAATGCCAGGTGCCCACCAAATCCACTCTATCACTGTCCCTCCTCCTGCTTCACTGACCTTGGTGTCTGCAGAGTTGTTTCTCTCGCACAGTCTCACTCCTCTCTCTACCTTGCCGTTTCACCCCAGAGTTTTTTCCTCGCCTTTCTTAAGTATGTTGTCACAGAGGCACTACCACCGTTGCTGATTGGCTTTGCCCTGGCCCGTGGCCGGGGCTCTTAGAGCCAGCTGGCACTGGCTTTGTCAGATGTGGGGGAAGCTTCTCGTAGCTTCTCACAGAAGCCACCCCTATAGCCCCCCTGCTACCAAAACCTTGCCATGCAAACCCATAACGTTTGCATTGCAGAGTCTAAAACTTCCTTTTTGTGATGTGAATGATTTGTTTGGAAGTAATTCAGTCATTGAGAGAAGTCCTTCACTTTTGAAAACATGGCATCAGATAGCTTGCTGACCACCATCTTTAAGAAGTGGTGTTGGATTTTGGGTTGCTTTTCTTTTTTTGCAGTTGTCTGAAGTCATGGTACAAGGCATTACAGCAGAACAGGTATTGGTATTTACATCTTTCAAGCCACTGGCATACAATAACAAAAGAAGTGTAGAGTGTCTAATGTCTTAGATGATGCTCTTGTGGTTTTATACTAAAGATGGAATATATTTTGAGGAGAGTAATTATTTTAAGAGGGTTTGAAAAGTTATGTGGTATATTTTTCTTGATGTCCAAATGATTTTGCTATTACTTTTTGGCATATTGTCGAGAAATTACTAGGAAAATGTAAGTAGAATAGCTTGAGGTATTATTCTTTTTAAATATTTTATTTTAAGGATTTCTGTGAAGGGTCTAACGTCCAATATTTCTGTCCAGTGATTAAAACATTTTTGTTGAATATTAGTGCTTTTTCAGTCAGAAAAGCCTATGTAGTTGCTGTTCATCGTGTTTTCTTTTGCATTTTTACATATGTTTTTTCATTATCTTTTTCATTTGAAAAATTGTCAAATAAATTCAGACTTAGCTTCGTATTGTAAAATAGTTCTGAAAATTTTTGGCCCATCTTTCAGTCAATGAAACTCCCCAATTTTGAATTTAAATTATAATCATGGTGAGTTTATAAATGAAGGGAAGTTCAGCCAAAAGTTATGGTATATTCTGTGTCTGATAAAGAAGACAGGTTACAATCAAGAGTAGCTCTAATGCTAGCATTACCACAGTCCAGCAACTGAAACTTGTGGTTGCATATTTATGAATGAGCTGTGGAACCTGAAGAGAAACATAGAAAGATTACTTTTTCAACAAGTTTACATGTTTCTTTGGCTACTCTTGAAAGAAATTGCACAAGAGTAATAAGTAATACAGATTTTGTTTGGACTGAACAGGCCAAATCTGCAAAGAATTCTGCAGAATTGTAATTTGAAATTAGAGTCCTTCTGAATCCTCTTTTAGGTACACACCTTCTTTGGATATTTCTTTTAACTCCTGATTTGTATGTTGAACTTCATGTA